ATACTTGCTGGCGTGTTACAACGATTTTAAGGACATCCTTACATGAGCTGGCCACACCGTTCACCGTAAGTTTCTATATTGCCCATTGACGCATATCATCACTTTGCGATCATTCGAGAATAGACATTACTGTCATGCTGCCGTCACACTTTAAAGCTTCATTAGCGCCCCCGTGCCGTGTAATGGCCATCTGCCCCCGCCCTCGCGCTCGCCGAGCAGGCGTTCCCACCACCGGCAACACGTCCCTGGTCTGAGCCGCGTCCGCTGCCGCAGCGGCGGCTCAGTCAGCCGCCGACGGTGCGACGGACGAGCCGGCGGCAGCGCCGCTGACCTGCTGGGCGGAGCGGGCGCCGGCGCCATCCGCCACACTGCTGCGGCTGTTCTCCGGCCGGCGGACCGAGCAGCTGACCTCGAGCGGCGAGCAGTCCGGCTCGGACCCGACTACCGAGGACGGCTCCGACTGCGCCATGGCCGCCGCCTCCGACTCGTCAGGGGGCGGACGGCCGCGGTCCCGGCGGGCCGCCGACGGCGCCGACCTCGAGCGGGACGGTGGCGGCAGTGGCGGCGGCAGCAGCCCACACCGCCACCAGGACCGCAGTGGGCGGGGCTCGCCGGAGAACGGCGGTCCCGAGACTGTGGAGACGCCCGCTGGTCCGCTGGACGGTCCCGCCAAGTCGGCGAGCCCTGAGCCACAGCATCGCGCCGCTGGGGACCACGGGAGAGACCAGCCGGCCGGTGAGCCCGCCGCCGTGCGGCGTGCTGACGCCGTCGCCCCAGGTGGGAGCGAGCCCAGGCCTTCCAGCGCTGCCGCCCGAGTGGACCGCTGCAGCCAGACCTGGTCAGGCGCCGCCAGCGGTCGGCAATGGCGGCGGCGGCGGCAGCCGCTCCGTTTGCGTCTGCTTCCCGCACTACTCGCTGCCAGTGCTGCCGTTTCTGGAGCGCAGTCCGATCGTGGCGCTCGTGCCGGAGCATGGCCAGACGCCGAGCCCGGCGGCGCGGGCGGCCGTCGGCGCCGCGCAGCGCCGGCCCTATTCCTGCGGCGACATCAAGACACTGATCCGCGGCAGCCTGGTCTCCATCCGTGACTGGCGCTCGCTGCGCCTGCTGCTGCCGCAGGAGTTTAAGCGGGCGGTGGACAGCGTCGCCGGCGGCGGCGGCTGCTCGCCGGACGCGCCCGAGCGCCTGCACGTGGGTCAGTGTCAGTCGGCCGGCCGGCCAGGCGCGCCGGCGCCACCGGCCGGGCTCAGTGACCCACCAAGCGGCCAGCAGGCGGCGCAGCCGACGCCAGGGGAGCCGGGCCAACGGCAGGCGGGCGAGCGCAGAACCCGCGCTCCATCCACAGAGGCAAGCTCCTCGGGGTCGGGGAAGTCGCTGCCTGAACACTGGAATGACTGGTTCTGTGACACGGCCGCTGTCGCCGCGGCCAACGCCAAGGAGCTGGAGATGTTGGCCGCTCCTGACGAGTGCGAGGTGCGTGTGCCACAGGCGCCGCGCAAGAGAACGCGCTCCAGAGAAAGCGGTAGCTCCAGCGGCCTCGGCAAGCTGACGGCGGACGCGTGTCACCAGTGTCCATCAGCTGACTCCGGCATCGAGATGAAGCTGGGAGCGTCGCTGGGAGTCAGCTCTGGCAGTGAAATGTCGCGGTCTATGTCTCCTACGCGGCCCAAGAGGGTTATCGTCGTCCGCAAGGACGGGTTTAAAGGTGAGCTTGGACTTAATGCGGTACAAACGAAGTCAGCTTGATTAGAAATTACTTGTCTTCGACTCTAAGGATAGTACAAAGCATGCATAGGTACATTCAGATTCTGAAGAAAGGGTCATCCGATCGGAATTTTTAAGGTGTTGCATTTGTTCCAGGTGTTTTTAACGACGTGCTGAAGGCTGTGGCTGACATTGTTGCGTACTTCCAGTCCAACGCGATGTTTCTGTCCGCGAACAACACAGGTGGGTAATACGGTTCAGCTCCGAGTCCACCTCCCTGCAGGCATGATCCGCAATGCCTCCCATAGACATACCTATGGACTTAACATTTAAATCGCTGCCTTATGGCAATGCCGTTCCGCAGACACACCAGTGGAGTCGTTCAGACAGACAGATATCGTTGTTGAGGCACCTTGTCACTTTGTATAATTAATTGCATTAATGACCGACTCACTTCATGTAGTGTCCGTCGCGAGGCCGGTTTGGTTAACATAGACATCGTAACCCAGTCGATCTTAGCCGGCTGTCGGCCGCTGCGCTAGCCGACAGTCGGACTAGGACTGACCCGGCCGGAGCGCCAGCTTGCAGTCAGATTAGGGCGGAGCCGGCCGGAGCGCCAGCCGACAGTCGGACTAGGGCTGAGCCGGCCGGAGCGCCAGCCAACAGTCGGACTGGGGCTGAGCCGGCCGGAGCGCCAGCTTACAGTCGGATTAGGGCAGAGCCGATTGTAGCGCCAGCCGACAGTGCGGACTAGGGCCGAGCCGGCCGGAGCGCCGGCCAACAATGTGGGCTAGGGCCGAGCTGGCCTGAGCGTGCACGGCACCGGGTCTTCGTGATCGCTTAGCAGAACACAACTTGGGCGCGTTTACGTGGACGATTAAGCGTGGGAGCCTGTCAAGCTGACACTTCTGGCGGAGCCACCATTAAAGGCCTGGCTTTTACAGAAGGTCTTTGTTACACCCTTGTCTCGCGTTCGCAATCGAGCGGGATCGATCGAGCTTGCAAAGCGTTACGGCTACTCCTGTCGCCTGCAGCCTTGCTTCTCGTAACTGAACGCCGCGATGGGTGGTCCGCCACCTGGCCCCTGTTTCCATCAGCGCGGGGCAATGCTGCGCTCCTACAGTGCCTGTCTTCCTAGCCCGGGTGTGATGACATCACCTAGTCTGGGTCACGGCTCCAGCCGATCTTTGTGGCTGCAGAGCGGGGCCGGCTGCTGGGAGACAGTCGGTGCCGGCCAGCCGCAGCGTTCTTGGTGCTGGACCGGCTCTGCCCGCCGCTGTACGCCCTGCTCGGCGATGGCCTACTCACCCGACTCGACACCGCCTTCGGGCCTGTCGACAACAACGTCTGGCGGCTGGTGGAGGCCGTCTGTTCGTCAGGTCAGTCTCCCAGCAATCATTTGTTCGTCAGGTCAGTCTCCCAGCCAACGTCTTTTCGTCAGGTCAGTCTACCACTCATCGTATATTCGTCAGGTCAGTCCCCCAGCCACCGTCTGTTCGTCAGGTCAGTCTCCCAGTCACCGTCTGTTCGTCAGGTCAGTCTAGTGTCCATCCCACATTTCCAGTCATAGTTGCATCGTCCGTATTGTGGCTGTGCCTTGGCCTTGCGGTCCAGCGCACGAAAGCAGCATAGGTGAACAGCAATAAACAAGACCGGGTATTTGGTGGCAGACAATTAGGACAAGCACGCGACAAAATGACGAAAAACTATAAACATTATCTGTAATGTGCCTTACAGTTCACACAGACAAAGCTTTGGCTTTATATCTGTAACAATGTTAATTGTTTGAGATCATGAACAAAGTTATATAATGGTTGTGCCCTCTTGTCTTCATATATATCACGTTCCACCGTTATTGGCTTGCAGGGCCATGCCTTCAAGAACTGAATGACCTCGTACTGAAGGTCAACAACGAAGAAGAATTATCTGAAAGCGTCCTGAAATTCAACGCCTTTGTGTTTGGTCTATTGAGGTAAGTAGCGCCGATCTGTAGGGTAGACATGCACAAGGGAATGATATCGTTCTTCCCTTCATCACCTTACTCGAACAGTGCATGATGTAGCAACCAATCGTATTTCAGGAAATGCGATTTATTTTACGTAACATACATCATTTTATCCCACGGGGAACAATTCAACTTAAACCACCGCTTGCTCAATGTATACTGCACTAACTTCGAGTCGTATATGCTATTTGTTTCACGACTTTTTACTGACGTGCGTTTTAATGCATGACTTTCAACTGAGACACAGCTTCCTTCATGGTAAGCTGTCCCATCTGCAACGGCTTAGATCGGTCACGATGGATGATGAGAAAACCTCCCACTGGTGTCGCTCTGAGCGGCTAGCAATGCGCACTCGACCGTCGGTACCACTCCCCCTTTGAGTCTCTCCATGCCACCCCTCACCGCCGGCTCCGCCCGCCCTCCCGGCAGCACCCAGGCGCTGGACTGGTGGTTCTCGCACCTGCTGACGCGGCAGACGGCGCTGCTGAAACACTACGGTGCAGAGGCCTTACTGCGCCGGCTGAGTCCGCCCGAGGCCGAGCCGCTGCTGCAGCAGCTGCGCCGGCTGGCTCGTTTCCGCTTCTGCATCGAGCTGACGTTCGAGAGCCGGCTGCTGCAGCAGAGCCTGAGCCGGCTCGGCCAGCGGCTGGAGGCGACCCGCGGCGGCCGGGGGCGGCGCCGCCCGGCGTCCAGAGGGGGGCGTGCGCCGCCCGCGCCGGCGTCACTCTGCGCCGCCACACGCCGCCACTGGAGCGGCCTGGACGCCGGCTCGGCGCGGGCGCTCCAGTCGCTGGCCGCTACGCTGTCCGACCAATGGGACGAGAACGATAACTGCCACCACGAGACGGACTCGGGTCTCTCGAATGAGGTTAAGAACCCCTCACCGCCGCAGACCAACCGCAACGCCGAGCCGAAGCGTAAGCCGAGGGAGTCGGAAGCGGCCCGTCCCGGCAGACGTGGACCGCCGAGTGGCCCGACGGCGCCTCGGGCGCTGCGGTCAGCGGAGCAGGCCGGCGCCGGCCGGCAGGCGGCGCGCCAGCCCGACACCTGGTGCCAGCAGGCGGCGCGGAGCGAGAAGGCGCGCCAGCTGGACGCCTGGTGGCAGCGCGTGACGGGTGACGAGCCGGCCGGTAGGCTGCGGCCGTGGTGGGAGCGTGAGCCGGAGGCGGCCGGTCGCGTCGAGTCGCGCATCCCTCGGCTCGTGCCCGGCGGCCGGGCACCGATTGCGCGCCAACGCCCCGGCAGCGGACCGGCCGCGGTCGGCCCCGCCCGCGGCCTCCGTCGGCAGCTCCTCAGTCGCGGACGAGGTCACGGTCCAGTCAGCCGTGCCCCGGACAGGTCAGCACAGGCCGCCGCCGAGCAGCGCAGACTGCTCACCGCCACCAGGGCGCAGACGACCAAACCCGCGCCTTCTGATCCGGAGAACAAGCAGATTAAAAGGTAAGAACGAAAATGACAAAGTGATGGCAACGCCACAGCCACCAGATGAAGCATAGATCTTTGCATTCGTAGTACCACGTATCACCCAGAAGGCCAGAATCTTCCTGGATAACTAAAACGTCGTCCATCTGCTGCTTAAATCACGAATTTTATGTTCAAGCGCCACGACAGTGCCACGTCTTCCGTCCCTTCGCACCGACATTTCCAACATGTCGTCATTACAGCACACTAAAATCTTTTGATATAATTCTCCAAGAACATTTCGTGAAACACTACGAAAAAGCAATATTACACGTCAGTTCATTTTGGGCAGCAGACTGTCATGTGCGTGCGGCCGACATCAGATGACGTTGGCGATACCGCCTCTCCCGTGACGTCATGTGACGCTGACGGTACAGCCTCTCCCGCGACGTCAGGTGACGTTGACGATACCGCCTCTCCCGTGACGTCAGTTGACGTTGACGGTGCCGCCTCTCCCGTGACGTCAGGTGACGTTGACGATACCGCCTCTCCCGTGACGTCGGCAATACCGCCTCTCCCGTGACGTTAGGTGACGTTGACGGTACCGCCTCTTCTGTGACGTCAGGTGACGTTGACGATACCGCCTCTCCCGTGACGTCAGGTGACGTTGACGATACCGCCTCTTCTGTGAAGTCAGGTGACGATGACAATACCGTCTTTCCTATGACATCAGATTACATTGACGATGCCGCCTCTCCCGTGACATCAGATGACATTAACGATACTGCGTCTCCCGTGACATTAGGTGACATTAGCGATACTGCCTCTCCCGTAACATCAGGTGACATTGACGGTACGCATCTCCCGTGACATCAGGTGATGCTGACAACGCCGTCTCTCCTTGAGTCAGATTACATTGACGATACCGCCTCTCCCGTGACATCAGGTGACGCTGACGACATCACCTCTCCCGTGACATCAGGTGACGCTGACGATATCACATCTCTCGTGATATCAGGTGACGCTGACGATATCACTTCCCCCGTGACGTCAATGGTGCCACCCCGGGGCGCCTGCTGCCCACATCGCGCATGCGGTGCGAACGTTCCCCCACGCCCTGCAGCGTGTCCACAGGGTACGCTCCCTGGTGCCGCACCACGCGACCAACAGCAACTACCTGTCGTACGACCGGAACGACACGCTGACCGTCGTGGGCACCGCCGACCGCCAGTGGCTGCTCTGCGCCCGCGACCGACACGTGGGGCTGGTCACGCGGCGGCACGTCACCCATGTCACCTGAACAGGCGCACGAGCCCGGTGATGTGGCGTCATCTACGTCACCCGAGCCGGCGGACAGCGTCAGTGGCGGGGCGGGACGTCGCCTGAGGCCAATGAGGGTCTGGTGACGTGTGTGTGCTTCACCGACGTCCGTATTGGGTCTGGTGACGTATGTATGCTTCACTGACGTCCATATTGGGTTTGGTGACGTATGAATGCTTCACCGACGTCCGTATGGGGTCTGGTGACGTGTGCATGCTTCACCGATGTTCGCATTGGGTCTGGTGACGTGTGCATGCTTCACCGACGTCTCTGGTCTGGTGACGCGCCGACACGTAGCCGGAACCTAATGCGGCCCTCGAGACGTGCCGCCAAGTCACTGGCGCGATGTGAACCCCGTGACGCACAGAGATTGTTAGCGTCGCCCGAGTCAGTAGCAGCTCTGCTCGAAACATAGGCTCTGCGGTGTGACCCCCGCTGCCTGCCAAACCTGATGTGCCACCCGCCCCCGACCGTTCCTGTCCCGCTATGCAGTCAGATTGTCGTGCGCACATAGTTACCATGCGCCCGCTCATCCCACATCGAGGTAGTTGTGGATGAGTGGTGTAAGTTATCGCAGCGTTATGATAACTAAGACCCATCGGCCAGACCAGCCATGCTGTTTCAGTTCGGTGCTATTTGTACGTCTTATCGCGGTTCATGTGACGGTTCTAGGGAACAGCACTGGGGTATTTGCGGCGTGGCTGACGCTCGCGCTTGCGCGTGGTTCTGCGAGCACTTGCCCAATTTTAGTCAGAGGCTGCTGCATGCTTCAGTGCACCCAACAAGGAAACTGGCATACACGGTACAGCGTTAACAGTGGTGGTAGATAAGTCCATCGACACAAGTAAAGTCACTAATGGGGTATGCACTTTTTTGTCTGGGGACTTGACGGCGTGACCAAGTGATGTTTAGCTCATCTAAGAGAGCTGATCGATTCCCCGTCTTCAACGGTATCATCGCACAGCTGGTTACTATGTTCAGCATCAGTGTCTACGTTGTTGAAAGGAGCCCAAGCGACCCGAAGCAAGAGAGAAAAAAATCTCGACGGATTTACTGGCAAGGAATGGCTTGCGAGCATTTTCCTGGGCGAGATAGGATTTGACACATTCCAAGCGCGTTGTTAGTTACGTTACGCGCGTCCAAGTTACGTTGGCGATTTATACAGCTGTCCGATCAAGTCCGTTAGCATTATCCAGTATCCAGTTACGCCCGCGGCGCTCAGTTCCTGAACGACGGCGACGCACGCGCCGATGATTTTGGAGCAGCGTCCGGTAGCAGTGTTCGAGCTAGGGCGTGCTTCCCGCCTGGAAACAAGCGCCAGGCAGCAGTTTACCCCGCCAGTCGTGGCCTAGCCTTCATTTAACGACCAGACGCGCAGTGTTCTAGATGTCTGTCGTCGCTTGCCCTCCGCAGACGACGCACGCGAGAGCTTCCTCTGTGGCTTTCAGTGGAGAGTGGAATGTGATACGTGCGGCTGTGTACCGCCGGGCGATGTGCGAAATGTAACCCAGGTGGGTGGCTTTGCATTCGAGGCCGAGTGACCTTCAAAATACTAACGTCAGACACCCAAACGGTTGTGACCTGTGAGCTTGTGACGTGGAGCTTGTCGCGTCGTACGCGCAGCAGCTGGCGGTGCATAGCAAGGCGGGCGAGGCGCGCGACCAGCCCTTGCGTCGTGTTGTGTGCCCGGACTGTTAGGACGTCCGGTGTTGTGTGCCCGGACTGTTAGGACGTCTGCCGAACACGAGCCAGGCGGCACGTCCCAGGACCAGGGAACCTGAATCAGCGGCACTGCACAGCATAGCGCTGGCGCAAACCAGCCCGGACAGTCACATGGTAACGTGTCATCTCACGTGAATTGAGTTATTATGCGAGATTATCAGGTCCGTACTGTTTTGTTCAAAGGTTTGCAATATGCGTGGAGCTTTGAAATGCAAATAAACTCTTTACTTTCAACTTGTATCGATTCTTGTGGAGATTCGCGACGCACGAACACGACATCGCAGCTACGACAGGAAGAACAAATCATCCGCATGCGAAGCAAACCAGCATGCCCGAACACATACATGGTCGTACCCACCCCCTCCGCACAAAGGAGCTGACCAGTTACCCTGTCGCGCCGCGGCGGCGGCTCGCAGCGCGAGAGCGACAGGTCCAAGATGGGACGACACTCCCGCCCCGAGTTATCCTATAGCCCGGGCACCGCCCGGACCCCGGCGCCTAGCGAGGCGTAGCAGCTGTGCTGCGGCGCTGGGGAGACGCCCCCGGCGCGGAGGGGCGCTGCCCTCGAGCGGCAGGGAGGCGCCCTCAGGCGGGGGGGGGGGGGGGGGGCAGCAGCGTCGATGGACGGCACACCGGCTCACAGCCGCCTCAGACACACGAACATCGGCAGTTTTATATTGAAAGGTAACTGTGGGCGACCCGGTGATACTACAGGAGCCGTGGGCTACCCGTCCATTATAGGCTTCATAAGCAAGTACAAACTAGCCATAAGCAGGCGTGAAAAGCTATAGGACACGCTTTTGAACTATCTCCGGATAGCGAGCCCCACAGCACGCGAAGTATGCGAGCCCGCCGGCTGACAAGGAAAGCAAGTTTTACCGAGGCTGAGGTAATCTGTCTACAAAAGAGCGCTCAAATGTCCTGGACGGCGGGACCGAATCCTCGCCTCAATTTACAACAAACGCGCACTGAAAGACAAACGATACAAACGAAGAGAAAAAAAACACAAACTTTTCCATACGGGTGCCAAAGCTTACACCGGTGCAGGACGCGCTGTTCGCACTCAGCTGGTGCGTCCAGTCTGGCATGCCGGCGTTGTCAGCTCACTCAGAAGACGCACACGACTAGCTGTGACGAGTAGGCGCTGGTGCTGACAAGCGTGCCCGGCTCGGCGCGAGGGCGGAGGCTCGCCCAGTCGGCGCCGACAGCGGGGCGTCACAGCAAGCCTGCACCGAGCCGGCGATCTGCCCGGCCTCGGCCAGCGCTGCACCGGCGGCACCGGCTCCCTCCGCCCAGCCCGGCTCTGGGCGGCGGCGCGCTCGCCGTCGGGACGTCCGTGGCAGTGTAGCTGGCAGGGGCGGCGGCAGGCGGCGGCCGGGTCTCCCTCTCGTTCTCGCCGACCGGGGCGGAGCGTCTCGGTCCCGCCCCGGCCGAACCGCAGCCTGAGATCGACCGAGCGCTTTACTCGGCCTCGGCCGCCGCCGGCCGACCCAGCAGGCACGAGACGGCGTCCTTCATGGCGTGGTAGATGATGTTCTTGATTTGCAACTTGTCCTCGTGGTTGGAGTGCGTCTCGGAGAGCGAGCGGAACTCCTGCGTCAGGTCGAAGCAGTGGCCGATATTCTCGGGCGACACAAAGTCCTCGGCCACCTTGATGCACGAGTGCAGGTTGCGCACCTGGTGCGGCGCGCCGGCCGGAATGAAGACGGCGTCGCCGGCGCACTGCACGATCGGGTAGCCCTCGACGCCGTACTCCTCGTAGAGGCGGCAGCGCAGCGGGCCGTCCAGGTACCAGCTCTGGTCGTGGATCGGATCGTGGTGCGGCTCCAGCTGGTCACCGCGCTCGATGGCGATCTGCAACGGCGACCCGGTCAGTCAGCGGCCCGGCTCGACGGGCGCGCACCACACGGCACGTCGCCACCTACGGCAGCACCGCACACACACGCACGCCGACACCGCGCCGACCCAGTTTGGTTCTCCAGGCGGCGAACGAACATCGATTTATGCATTGCATGCTGTTACCCTGGAGGGCGGCTGTCTCGAAACGGCCCGAAGTTCCGCTCCCAGAGAGCTAATCAACACGATGATGGTAAAAAGGCGTGACTTAGCCCCCCCCCCCCCCCCATCCCTGCAACATTTCCCGCGAAGAGCCGGACACTGGTCAGGCACGCATCTGACCGACAGCGCCGACGACACGGGGTAGCGGCTATGCGCGGCGAGCCCACCTTATTGAGGAGGTCACGGATCTTGTCGGCGTCGGCCGCGTGGTAGATGTGCCACAGGGCCCCCGGCAGCTCGTCCTTCACCCGCCGCTTGGTCAGCTGGTCACAGCCGGCCTCGTCGATGGCGCGCAGCGCCTCGGCGTTGTCGGCGTCGCCGTCCGGCGGGATGCCCACGTGCACCATGATGTTGACGGCGTCCGACACGTCCAGGTGCAGGTTGGTGGACGCCTTGCTCGGGTGAAGCGCGCAGCCGTACGCGATGTACATCTTGGGCCCCAGGTCGGGCCGCACGAAGCAGTCGGGCAGGCACGAGGCCAGGTTGAGTCGGCCGTCGCGGCGCGTGTAGTCTGTCATCGGCAGCACCGACATCAGGTCGCTGAAGCGGTCCGGCATCATGTCCGCGAAGTCGTCACCCGGCGGCCAGTCCTTCAGCTTGAGGATCATCGGCTGACCCTTGTCGTCGCGCAGCCGGCGCGACACGCACTCGAAGCCCTCCCAAAAGCGGCGCATCGGCTGGTTGGGCACGATGTTGCCCGTCTTGCAGTTAATGAGGTCGTTACGCACGTCGCCGAAGTCGCGGATGAAGGCGTCCACCGACCAGATGGAGCGGTCCAGGCCGCCGCCGATGCCCGAGCAGAGCACCGGCTGGCCGCGCTTCCACTGGTCGCGGAAGAGGCGCACGCCGTCCGGCGCGGTCGTGTCGTGCAGGCGCAGCAGCTTGCCGTCGCAGAGCCACGAGTGGCGCACGGCCGGGTACAGTCGCGTCGACTCGCTAAGCGTCATGATCCGGATCGGCAGCCGTTCGCGCAGGCCGCGCTTGCTGGCGCAGCGGCGCACGAAGTGGCGCAGCTCTGGCGCGCCGGCCGACGGCCCGGCCGGCCGGGCAGCCGCGTAGCGCGCCGACACCTTGTCCAGCACCTCATCCAACGTGTCCTCCATGGACCATCCGCTGCGCCGGGGCTTCTCCTGCTGCAAGCACACAGACAGGCGGGTCACCAGTGGGACAGCCAGTCACAGAGCCGCGGCCCGAAGACCGACACAGAAGCCGGCTACGTGCCAGACCAAAAGTGGTTTTCCTTTAACGCTCAATCCGCTTAAAGACACAGTCAGACCGGCACACATCAGCAGGTAGGCTTCATTCCACCGTCGTATTTCCCGTTAACTGCGTGTCCGGCTCAGTCAAAGACCAGCATGATACGTAGAAAAAAGACAACCTCCCACATGACAGACTGTGTGCCACAGGTAAAAAAACAGGCTCCAGCCAAAGGATCTTACAGCTTGGACTTTGAGCGGCGGTTGTCCTCGCGACAAGCCATGCTCATCAAACACTCGGACTTTATGGCTACTGGGTAAGCCTCGCGGCTAAATTCACGGTGCGTCTTTTTACTAATAACCTGGGGCGACTACGTGTAGTCGGCGTTCCGTGGAAAAACTTAAGATCTAGAGCTTCGTCGACAGTATCAACGGGCTTCAACCGAGTTCAGCACGCCGGCAGGTCCAGGACGATCGACGCACAGGGACGTCGCTACCTCGACCGCAGGGACGGCGTGCCCCCCCCCCCCCCCCCCCCCCCCCCCCTGAGCGGACGCTTGACACAGACATCCAGTCGGCGTGACTGGTGCACCACTGGTGCCGTGGACCTGCCGACTGGCCCGCAGAGCGCAGCGGTGGTGCGTTCGGAGCGTCTGGTCGCGACTGCCTGGTGTCCGGCGCGCCATCCACGGGCGGCGTGCACTGATTTGACCGCGCAGGCGGTCGGTGACGCACGTGTCCGAGCAGCCGTCGTCTATGGATCGCTCGTGCATGGAAGACGATGGACTACACACGCGCATCTGGACGACAGGGCCAACACTAAGAGCAGAGGCGCAGCGGCAGCAGCGGGAGACGCCTCTAAGATGCGTCTCGAACGACGCCGCGACATCGGCAGGCATATCAGTGTGCATCCTGGTTGTGAAGTCAACTGTCTTGATGGCCTTGGTCGGCGAGACCGACGCCCCTCATCACGCTCATGAGTGCCTCCACTTCGGATCCATTAAAAGGGCGACTGGCGCAGGGGCGCGGAAACTAGGGAAGACAGGAGGGGGCTGGAGGGGACTGAAACCCAACTTTCTGCAAATTTAACTTTAGTCCTATGGACCCTGACTCATGAAAGCATAACCAAAAATGACTATTGGGCCCAAAACCTGGGAGGCTTCCCATTGCTCCTTGGCTGGCAAAACGTCATTCACGTTACAGGATGGTTTAGTAGCAGCGTCTTCGTCTTTGGAACCTCTGCATCATTATAACAGAACACCTGGAAGAGGACAACGCTCGGTCCCCACGAGACATTTGACGTGGCGTCGTAAATTGGATTGTCCCCTTGTAGTGAGGATCTGGTATCAGCTCACTGGATAAAAACCGAACCACCCGAAACGCACAAGCGGACTCTTCAAAGACAGCGACAGCGCAGCTGAGCGGACCCCGGAAAACGCTGTAACTGTTCGGCTTTGGTCGAGATCGTGGTTTGCCCTTATATCACGCGCTTGCAACCGCTGTGCGTACATGCCAGTTAAAAGCGAGTATGTCAATCTGTCGAGGCATTTTCTCAACTACTTGGACCAATTAAGACGGAAAAAGTAAATTTATCCATCGTCCATGTCCCGCATGACCTCATCGATGAAGATGCCACGTGCCGCCTTGGTCGAATGGTACCCACGATATCCAGGCTGGGCCCCCGCAAGCAGCCGACTTGTCTCAATGTACCTCACAAGTTGTGTCGAAGAGCACGGCCACAGCTGAGCTAATAACAGACGGTACTGGAGTCGAGAGGGTGCCGGACACCTATAAGGCAGCTGTTCGCCTGGACAGACCATGCCCCCACTGCGAATGCCTTCAGCGCGGTTGAAACCCGGCCCCGTCGGGCCGAGCGTGTCACGCGTCCGCCTCACCTTCTTGGCGGCCTTCAGTTTAGGCTCCTCGGGCTGGGCGTCCGGCACCAGCAGTCTCCGTAGCGCGGACGAGCCGCCGCCGCCCGCCTCCTCCTCCGAGTCGCTATCGCTGTTGTCGCTGTTGTACTCCTGCAACCAGCCAGCGAGGCGTCACATGCCCGCGTCCAGCAAGCGGCTAGGGCCTATCCGGAGGACACAGCAGGGCGAGCGGGCACCGCAGCTGGGTCGGATCTCACCCAAGCGCTCATCGGAACGTCCCCATCCGTCCCCGTGTCCCCCCCCCCCCCCCCCCCAATCCATAATGTAGACAACGAGCCGGGTTGGTAACGAACGGTGCCCAGGGGTTGGTGGTTATGTCGTCACGCTTGTTCCGTTCCTTGCATGAGCCCCAGGTTCCACTCACACGCCACCAGCCATGGCCCGCTGTTGACTGCCCAGAGCCCAGCCACATGCGCAGCGCGGTCTGCGGACGTTTCGGCCGACAGCCGCCGCTCCCGTACTCACGTCGGAGTTGATCTTAGAGCCGGACAGCGCCACGTCGGCCAGGAAGGCGAGCGGGGAGCCGGCCTGGTTATCCTGCCCCCGCGCGCAGTCCAGACCGTCCTCCTCCAGCTTCACCCTGCCGTTCCCCTCCAGCTTCACCATGCCATCTCCCTCCAGCTTCGCCCCGGCACCTTCCTCTAGCTTCACCTTGCCACCTCCCTCCAGCTTGAGGGCGCCAGGTTCCAGTTTCGGCGCGCTGTCAGCCGACGCAGGGGCGCCCGGCGCGTCGCCGTCGGCCACGCCGGCCTGCTGCAGCCGGCGCGCCTCATCGCACTGGCAGCTGAGTGGCAGGCCGGCCAGCAGACGCGCCTCATGCACCTGGCGGTTGAGCGTGGCCAGCGCGTCGCTGGTCACGATCTGCGTCAGCATCAGCTTGCTCTGCTCGTGCTGGCGCACGCCGCACAGCAGCCAGCCAGGACTTGTCGCGATCCGCGCCCGGCTCGCCCCACACCTTGGCCGTGCCCTCGCTACGGCTGCGGTAACAGTCGACGCACACGGCGAAGCCGCAGCGCGAGCACACCCAGTGCACGTTGAACAGCGTCGTATCGCACACGTCGCACATCTCGCGGAAGCCCTGCACGACCCGCTTCCAGGCGACCGTGTCGTCGTCGCCCCGGTGGCCGAGGCGCGCCGCCTCCTCGTCGCGCACCAGGTCGCAGAACTGGTTGCCGACGTGCGCCAGCAGGAACTTGGCCTCCTCGGGCTGCATGCCGGCCGGCCGGCCGTCCAGCGCGGCGCGCCACAGCCGCTCGCTCTCGCCGCACGCGTCCCGCGACGGCTCGCAGAAGCCGGACACGTTCAGCCGGCCGTTGCGCGTGAAGCGAACCAGTCGGAAGGCGGTGAAGCGGCAGTTGATGCCGCTCTGCGTCTTGTGCCGCTGCGCGGGCACCGCGCGGCACTCGCGGCACTTGGGCAGCCGCGATGTCACGTCCTCACAGCAGTAGCGGTCCTGCGGGAAGCTCTGGCCCGTCTTCTTCAGCACCCTGTACGGCAGACGCTTCAGCTGTGGGCCGGTGGACGAGTCCTTCGGTGGCCGGCCCCGCTTCCTCTTCTTCGCCTGTCGTGCCGCCTTGCTGCCCGCTCGCTGCGCCTCAGCGCCCGTCCTGTTTTTCGTCCGTGCTGATCCGTTTGGCCCCGGTATCGCTGTGCTCTGCCTCGGTGTCGCCGGGCTTTTCCTCAGCGGAGTCCGCGTGGGGCGCGGAGCCGTTCTGACCATTTCGTTGTTCGACGCCAGCGCCGGGCAGCGGCTCACGATCCGTGGCACTGTCTTCGTGCCGCCCCTGCGCCGAGGGCGAGTGGGCCGGCTCACCGGCGCCGCCGTCCGCCTCCTCGGCACTCGTCAGCCGGCTCAGCCAGGTTTTCTTGCCCTTGTGTGCGGAGCCGGCCTCCGGCTCGATCTGGGCAATGCCGTCCGAGCGCGGCCGTTTGGACGCCGACTCGGGCCTCTCCGGCGACGGCGTGCGCCGCTTCGCAGCCGTCTGGTCCGCCGACGCTGGCGGCCGCCACCGGTCGGCGCCGGCAGACGGGCCGCCGGGCGACACAGCGCCAGCGGCAGGCGGCGCGTTCTGGCCGGCCGACTGAGAGGCCGGAATGGCGGCCGCGGCCGCTCGCCCGAGCGACGTCGCGCGCTCCCGGCCCAACGGCGAGCCAGCCTGACTAAGCAGCGCCGCTGACTGGCCGCTCCCGGCCGCCGCGGCACTGGCGAACACAGTCCCCTGGGCGGCCGACGCGGCAGCCTGTGGCTGGCTGACGCCACTGTCCGGGATCTGGCCGGCTGGCGCTTGGGGCGCTAGTCCTGCCGGCTGACTGGCCGTCGCCGCCCAACGACTGGTCAACCCTGTGGTCGACGGTTGGGTGGGCCGGCAGACTGCTGCCTGACCGGCCTGGACTGCTGCCTGGCGCTCAGCTGAGGACTGGTTGACTGGCAGCGTACTCTGCTTTCCTGGGTGAGAGCTTGAGTGGTTCCAATCCACTGCCGGGCAAATAGGGCAATCAGCCTACAGGCCTGTTGCGAGCGTTTCAGTGAAAACCGTACAGTGGGTACAGATCATAACAGGGCTGTATTCACTTACCTGTTGCAATGTCCGAGCCTTTATTAGAGGTCCTCAACTACGACCCCTTCATCCCCCGAGAACTCCAATGAGAGCTCAAGACAGACTTGAGAACAATGTCAATATTCCTACGAAGCGCTACAGCACAGATGGGACTGCCCGTCCCTGGACAAGCAAACACCGTATGCAGGTGAGGCGGTTCCAACTGTGATGACACCTGGCCGGGGCCGGGGCCGGGGCCGGGCGGGGCCGGGGCCGGGGCCGGGGCAGGACCGCACCTGGCGTCGGTGTTGATAACTGACCCTGTGCTCGAGGACTCGGACGCGCCATCGGCTCCGGCGGTCCGCCAGAGACCGGCAGAGGGGCGGTCGGACGGGCCGGCATGCCAGCCAGCCGCGCCTGCAGCGGACGAGGGGCATTAGGTGAGGTGACAATGGACACCGCCACACAGGGCCGACACACAGCCGGACGTGGAGCGGGACAGGCAGTGGCGGTCACACCAGAGTCAGGCGACACTGGGCACCGCTGTACGGGGCCGACAGACGACGAGGGCAATGCAGTCTGAACAATGGGCCACTGAAGGCACAGAACAGCAGAGCTATACACAAAGGCAAACCAAAGTGAACACGTGTGAGGCACGCACGCGGCATGGCTCGCAGCCATCGACAGCGCGGAGAAGCATGTCTGCTACCGACCACAGTACAACACTGTCATGCGAACATGGCCACGTCGGGTCAGAGCGCGTGCACGTGTAACCGCGGTAATGTCCATTCGGGTTTCGAGACAATGCCGACATAGACTGTCATCGGTGTCTGGCGGCACGACTCGGCAGCGACGAGTCGCGGGAGTCGCGGGAGCGGAAGGAACGAGTCATGATAGCGATTCTGATCTGCGAGTGGCGCGTCTGGGTCGCGGGGGCGCAGGTCTGAGCCAACGACTGTGCGTGATCAACCTTCAGCGGGGGAACCAGCGAGACTCGGGCACAGGTTCGCAGTCCGTGTGGGTGTCCCAGTTCGGCCTTCTGGCACTGTCTTTCTACGCGTTTAGTTCTCCGCTACCACTTGCAACCGTAACACCCACCTTTGCTCAAGCTTGGCTACTGCCCGTTCTCGTGACTTCGACGATTCCGGTCTCTCACAGCATGAGCATCGACAATTGTTAGTGTCAATCACCTGGCGTGCATCGTGGGCCTTAAGTTCGATTTGCCAGCCTGGAGGTGTCCCGGGCCCCTCCACCCCGCCGGCCCCTCAGCCGTGCCTACGAGCCCCTGCGGCCTGCGCCGGCACAGGCGGTGCCCGAGCAGGCAGACCCAACCGCCGGGTCTGCGCCATCGGCCGCCTACCTTCTGCTGCAGCAGTCGGATGGACTGAGCCAGCTGCTGCTTCCGCTCCACCTCCCAGTGCTGGTCCGGCCGCAGCGGCAGGCCGCCGGCTCGGCTGCGCAGGCAACAGACGGCCGTCAGACATCGTCACACGCGCCGCCCAGACATCACACACCGTCACACACGCCGCCCAGACAGCATACACCGCCTGGCAGGCATGGCCAGCGGTGGTCCGATGTACGGTCCGCCAACACCACACAGCGTCAGCTCGCGACGCGCACGCACGATCCGTTCAGCAGGCCGCAGACAAGGCAGACACGCAGCCCAGACAAGCCGAGACACCACCAGACGCATGGCCCATACAGCACTCCACCGGGTCAGCAGACAGCTGACGCAAACACTAGGCAGCATCAGTGAGTGAGCAATCGAATGTGTCGTAATAGTGAGAAGCACCTGTTGCCCTTGTTGTCTACCCATGCACTAAGAAATGCTTGCCAGCAGATAAAATACAGCTTTATGAACATAAAAACATCATCAGCTAATACAAACATCTCAAATTTCAAATATGTGCATGATTAGTGGTAGCAACATCCATGAACACGATATAGTCTGCACGCTCTTCTCCAAACTCATACTGACGCCTTTTCCAGCAGTGCCAGTTCCAGCAAGCTTTCAGCTTCAGGCATTTATAAAAAAGCATATTGAAAAAATCATGCAAAGCAAACCATCGCGTCATCATCGTCTTAACTTTCCTACCGTGGGCTTTAAAATATGCATGAGCAGCCCGTCAGACAAGCGACCTGTTCCTAAACAGCATGCCCTTCTAACCTGCCATTCCTCCAGCGAACTGTCCCGCCGCTAGCCCGTCCCGCTGATCTGTCCAGCCGCCTGCCCGTCCCACTGACCTGTCCCGCCGCCTGCCCGCCCTTCTTCAGACCCGTCCCGCCCTCCGCCCGTCCCCCTGGACTGTCCCGTCCCCTGCCTGTCCCGCTAGCCCGTCTCGCCGACCTGTCCCGCCGCCTGCCCGCCTTTCAGACCCGTCCCGCTGACCTGTCCCGCCGCCTGCCCGTCCCACTGACCTGTCCCGCCGCCTGCCCGCCCTTCAGACCCGTCCCGCCCTCCGCCCGTCCCCTGGACTGTCCCGCCCTCTGCCTGTCCCGCTAGCCCGTCTCGCTGACCTGTCCCGCCGCCTGCCCGCCCTTCAGACCCGTCCCGCCCTCCGCCCGTCCCGCCGACCTGTCCCGCCCCCTGCCCGTCCCGCTAGCCCGGCCCGTTAGCCCGTCTCGCTGACCTGTCCCGCCGCCTGCCCGCGCTTCAGACCCGTCCGCCCTCCGCCCGTCCCGCTGACCTGTCCTGCGCCTGGCCGGGCGTCACGCCGTACTGCAGCAGCCGCGGCGGAGGCGGCAGCTCCTGGCCGGCCGGCGCCGGCGGACGCGCGCGCGGTCTCTCCTCAGCCATCTGGACGGCGGCCCCGACCTGCGGCTACTCCCGACACACGCCGGCCGCGCGTGTCGCACAGCCGAGTGGCAGCGGCTAGGCACGCGGAGGCGAGCAGACGCAGCAGCTACGGTACCTGGCAGCCACGGCTACGGCACCACACCGGACGTGGACCGCATCGGCTGAAACAGCCGGAGATGCCGATGGTTAGTGGCGGTCTAGGATACGCCGACGGTTCCGATCGTTTTGTGCGGTGACGTTCCACTGCAACATAGCATGCCTCCACAAGGCTTGTAATCATGTCTGGGCTCCTGGTATTTCTGGAGGGGTCATTTATGATCACTTATAATCTGATGCACACACACTTCCTTTATTACAAGCATGTACACTTCTGGAGTCTAGGCTGCAGACTAGCTACAAAGTTCACACAATGTCAGTGGTGTGTGTGCAGAAGTCATTCATAATTAAAGCCTATTTATGTGGTGTTGAGATCAAACCATGTTCACTGATACAGATCATCATCCATACTAAGTCAGAACTTTTAACCAAATATGTTTTTTATATCTTGTATATGCAATAAATGTAGGAATCATCCCATCCAACATAAATTTGTGTAGAACATTGCACAACTGAAACAAGCCCAAATCCTGAGGCCTTGGGTGAGCTACTTTAGAGCTTCACTTACATGGGGGTGATTAAAAAAAAGTGGCTTACTGGCAGACATTCTCAAAACTGGCAGATGGTCCTTGGTGGTGTCACCCTCCTGCCTCATATACCATTTGTTAGACACCATTTGGTGCTGTTCACTGGAGACCAGTAACTTGATTCTGTGCACCCTGCTCCAGTTTTGAATAATATATTGATGAGATGCACATGAGAACATATATTCTATCAACCATTCAAAGCAACTTTATCATGTGGTCATTAGGACTGATTACAGATAACAAATACACAAAAGTGAATTTGTCAAAACAGAACACAAGGCACTGCATCAGTGCAGTGCAACTGATAAAAGCAAAGAGCATTGCTGACAGAACTGCATCTACTCTGACATACCTCTTTACAATGCTTGAGAGTTATGAAGTTTCCATAACAATCAATGTCATACACATCCATACATTTAAGTTAAAATAGCTCAGAAAATAATGTGCAGGGATTAGTTTGGCATCAACATATCTGGGGTATCAAATAAATGTCTTTCCTTTAAAAAAAATGTTTCTTCTTTTGGTTTAACATTGTACATTCAACTTGATTGGTGGCACAACCAAAATAAAATGGTGCACAGAGAAGTGGGATGTTCATATCTGAAACATACCTGCATTGTAATAATAATCATGTGATCAAATCAATGAATTAACACATTTTTGTAGCTTGGATCTCATTCATAGCATAATCTGAATGGATGTTGAGAGTAGTAAATAGCCTCTGCCCATAATGACAAAGCACCAAAAAATGAAGCTAGCAGTATTTAGGTTTGTAGCATCTTTGGGGCAAAGAAACAGGCAGGCAGACCAGTACCATTTTTCAAAAGTTGGCCAGCAGTCAACATATTGGTCAACAGAAAGCCTGAAAATAATGACAAAAGGCCATGCAAAAAATCTAAAGTCAGCAAAGTCACCATGTAATTTATGCTAACCAAAAATAATGCTTGTCTGACTACCTACTCGTTACTTCCTGATAATCTGCAAGTAGAATATAAATTAACTCCGTATTGGCCTTTTCCTTAACATTCCTAACATTTCCAAGGACATTTACCTCCTTCAGAGGACTTTTTCACTTAAACAACAGACAAATAACACCAACATTTGCATGGTCTGACCCATTCCTGCACTTCTTCCCAACATCAGCCTCCTCAGCAGATGATCAGATCATCTCCCATGCATGGTATGCTATACAATCAGCAGCATCACATGAAGCATGAATTGAGCGTCTGCCAATGTGACCCATTAGAGGGTTTATGCAGTTACCATAGAAGTGCTGGCCAACTGATTCATGGCTAACAATGTTCTCCAAGTGCTGCCATCTATGCCACTGTTCTGGGCTTAAATACCCAGACTTAAAGACAGACAATAGCTGACACTCAATTGCCACACTGGTGGAAAAGACCCAGGGACACTCGGAAGCAGCAATGGATTGTCAGCCTAAGCAAGGCCTAGGATTTGCTTAACTTAAGAAAATTATTGGTATTAGCCCCATGACTGCATCATGCAAAATGCATTCATAAGTATTTTAGTCCAATGACTTCATGTGAATTTTCATATCACCCAACCATGTAAAAACAATACAACACCTTTGAGCCTGGATAAAAAACCATAACTAGCAAAACTAATTCACAATAATTTGTCCATGTGCTCAACCACAGTTGGACTAATGAGACCCACATGTAAATCCCTGACTCAGCACTACACCAAATATGTGAAACATGCTATGTTTCATGATAGCACAACTAGTTTGGAGTAGTTAACATAGCAAAATAATCTACAAATTGTGGTAAAGCAGAAACTATGGAAAGCAATGTTACATTTTCCTAAAGATTGAGTTCAAACCTACACATTTGGCAGATTTCTTGGATCAGAACTCATATTTTGCAGTGAAAACTTATTGCTGCATCTCAGGGCACTGCTCACAGGGGCTTATTCGTGATGATTTTGACCATGATCAGCACAAGCGTGCACCAAAACCTACAGCGGTGACGAATGGCACGGTGCTAACCACTCCAGATGCATGCACATAGCCAGATTCCCCTCAGTGAAAAATTATGTTTCATAGCTCTTGCAAACTTAAACTAAGCCCCCACCAAATTACTCAGTGTATGAAGTAAACCTCTTGGCTCAGGGACCGGGGCATAGCCCTCATGCCCCTGGCTGCATTCCTGCTGACGCCACCTGACGTCTAGTTTAGACGCGTTACCCGAGCAGCCAGAACGAATGATATTGAAAGAAAACAAATTTTAATGGATTTCATGCACTTACCCGCCCGGTTATGAAAACAACTAAGAAAAACCCTGAACGTTCCCATATCGGGCGCCAGGTAAACACGGCCACCAAGTCATTGAGTTCTGCGCAAACTCTGCCTGAACTTCGAGTTTAGCAAATTGTCCCAAACAACCATACGACAGCTCCTGCTCATGTGCGACATGAAATGGTATTTTAAACGGATCGGAGCTAACAAAACGGCGTGATAATTGAATCCCATCGTCATTGGGCCCTTGCGCTTTACAACCTACTGAGGCTATACGGCGGCGACTGCCCCTAACCACGGCAGGAAGGGCGGGCACCACGGGGAATCGTACCCCGTACCTCTGGTTCCTCAGCTGTGCAGCTTAACCACTCTGCTATCTTAACCCATTGGCCGAAATTATAATACAATACATAGCATGAACAATTCGATCAAGTTACGTTTAAACAGCATCAAATCCCGAATAAATAAAAAATACCGCCTTTGCAGCGTCTTGGGTCGTAGTCCATGCAACATTACGACGGAAAACCTTTGGCGATCTCCACTCTGTCGGGCGCTGTCGACTACGTAGAAACAGGCGGATAAAGTAAAGAACAAATCCATTAGAAGCAGTCGTCTCTGGGAATGGGTTTAACCGCTCAAAGCACAGTTCCCAATGAGCGGTGGTGTCACCCTCTTTTCTGCAGACTCATCTGTCTCCACGCTATCCAAGTGGTG